TTTATATTTCAAAATTTTTATCTAGAATCAACTGCTGGACATTATCCTTGATGAAGCATACACATTGCCAGCTTGCAGAATTTTGATCTAGACCTTGAAAAAAACAGGACACTTGCCTAGAATATGCTTTTAGATACGCTGCCTTCAAAAATTTATGGTGCTTTTTAAACAAGGGTGTTTAAAAATGTTTACATCACCAATTACATTGAGAATATGAGGTAAGCTATAGAGAATCTCCAATCCAAAATACAGCTGGGCTAAAAACTTTGCTTCCAATCCTGAGAGAGTTCATCACACTCCCCTGACTCCTCAAACACAATGCCATCCATGGACCTTAGGTACAAGATTGAAAAAATCTTTATACTGATTTTCATTTTATTCGAGAGTTAATAGAAAACTCAGGCTTGATTTTAGAAGATTGAACAATAGGCCTGGTGTGAAATTGCATCTATTTGGTATTTGAGAGGTGGTTGGATAGAAACAAACATAAATGCTTTATTGTTCTGTCTTAAAGCTATAGACTAGCTCCTCAACACAAGTTTCCTGTTCCGTTTGAAGATGTCCTTACTGCAGCCAAGTTTTTTCTTCAGGATAAAATTCTTACAAAATATGGAGTGGATCCCACCCGAATCTGTATTTCAGGAGACAGTGCTGGGAGTGCTTTGGCAGCAGCAGTGACTCAACAGGTACATTATATATGTCTTTATGGTGGGAGGTAGAGGTTGAGGCTTATTTTTCCCCATAGATATTCAGTTCTTCCAGAATCATTTGTTGAGAAAAACCATTCTTTCACATTGAATTCCAGTGGCACTTAAACAATCATTTGACCTTAATGTTAGTATTTCTCTATTCTTCTGTTCCATTGATGTATATACCTATACTTGTGCCAATACCATACTGACTTCGACTTTATTCTTCCTTTTAACAAATTGTTTCTAGTATTCCATATCTTTACCATTAAAATATTAGAATATCTTGTCAATTTTTTAAAAGAATGGTTAATTGGATTTTGATTAGGATTGCATTGAATCTACAGATTTGGGGAGGACTGACATCTTAATAATAGTGAGACTTCCAATTAGTATATCTGGCATATGTCATATTTTATTAGGTCCTCTCAAGTTTCTCAGCAATATGTTCCTATTTTCGGTGTAGAAATCATGCACATCTTTTCTCAAATTTATTCCTGAGTTATTTTTTAAAAATTTCACATAAAATACTATTTTTCAAATGTTTATTGATAATATGTAGAAATACAATTGATTTTTATATTGGCCTTTTACCATTATATCCTCAATAAATTCACTTAACAATTTTAGTGTTTTTTTTTTTTAAGTTTCCCAGGATTTTTCTAAACAAGCATATCTTCAACAACTAGAAACAGTTTTAATTCTTCCTTTCTAATCCTATGCCTTTTTTCCCCTTTTCTTTGTTAGTGCACTGGCTAAGGCCTCCAGTACAATATTTAATATAACTGTCCGGCTTTGGATCTGAGGAGGAAATTATTCAGTTTTCATCAAAAAATCTGATGTTAATTGGAGGCTTTTCATAGTTAGCTTTTGTCAGATTGAGAAAGCAATTTCTATTCCTAGTTTGCTGATAGTTTTCATATACACTAGTACTGAATTTGCCAAATGTATCTTAATGTATCTATTCAAACGATCATGTGATTTTTCTCCCTTATTCTTTTAATGCGGTAAATTATGCCAATG